TGGTTGGTTGGTTGGTTGGTTGGTTGGTTGGTTGGTTGGTTGGTTGGTTGGTTGGTTGGTTGGTTGGTTGGTTGGTTGGTTGGTACCTATTGACCTATTGAGATGTAGACCATACTACTATACTGACGTCACGAGGTCTCTTGTCCATATGAAAAAGATAAGTCTGTATCACTGCAAGTGTACCTATTCCCCTAGTTTTGGTCCCTCTAGCAGGGTAGTGATGTACAGTCTCCCACCCTAAGCCAAGTCTGTGTGGCTCAGGCCTGGTGTGGCTAGCACGAGCACAAGGCTCCAGCCGTACGTGCGTCTCCTACTGATAAGGACCCAATAAAGTATGGTAGCGTCGATCCTGACAGACACACCCGATAAGACAAGAGTACAAATTATAGCCTCCCGATAAGAGGGCTTTTAGTGCACGATTAGTTGTGTACTTAACTCCCTTAGATGAGCGCTTCGTGCCTTCAGAAGATGATGATAACGCCATTACTGTAGACTACGTGATTTGTAAAAGTTCCGCTTGAAGATAAGATGGTTAGTATCGAACGATAGCGGCGGCGGTGGCTGGTTTCAGCGATTGCAGTGGACAAGACGTCTACTCAAGTCAACAATAGAGTTAATTACATTTATATATTGATCTATAAAAGTCTAAGCCTAGGGAAAATGTTTACCGACCGTCCCTAGCCTTTGTGTCGACCGCCGGGCAAGGCTGGCCTCCTTACCAGACCCCACGCCTGGGCTTTTTTGGGAGCCATTATGATGTGGGTATTTCTCGTTGAGCCTGCTAAGGAGGCTACAGCAAGGGCGTAAAATTTTCAATTTGGCTTTTGCATTTCAAACCCTCCAAACACTATTTCACGTGCTTTCAGAAGCAAGTATCTATTGAGTAAATTGGGTAAAATATCTGCCCCTTCCCGATAAGCAACCGACGGGACGGGACAGGTCCTGGAGATAGCCCTGGTCATTTCAGTTCTACATTATGAAATTGCATTTGTTTGATCACTTGACACTTCAGCCAATCTCTTTTCAATCTATAAGAAAAAGAAGACTATCTAACTACAGACCCTATATTTGTCACCACTGAAATTAGAAACACGACATTTTCCAAGTCCGTTATAAGTGCGTTATAAGACTCGGCAGAAGTAGGCTGATCCCTCGCGTGAATTATTAACCACTACGTCTCGGTTTGGCATCGAGTGCTGGAGTCTAAACACGCCGTTCCTTTTGTCGTGGGCATAATCTCTTAAGTTTCCAACCGGACGTTTTGACCTAATGGACGTAGCCTTAACATGAGGAGGGTATTAATCTTGTTACGAAAAGTGTAATTAGCCACCCGTGATGTACACGAATGTAGTACCTCTTACCACGGGAATCCCAAGTCTCTCCGGTACTTTTAAGTTAAAAGCTGCTGGGAGGCCCAAACCTATACCACGTCTTCACGAGGCTAATACTTATCTATAACCCGAAATCATGACGCTGGCGTGTCCAGAACAGAAGATATCAAATGTTCTGCAATAAAATAGAAATAACCAGAGGTCGATAATATATGTACTCCTTTTTTTTAATTTTGCTAACACATATAATGTACACTCTGGCATACCAAATATCATTGCGATCTTGTAGACTTCTCGAGTTATGCCCTTCACAGGCACACACACAGAGAGACAGACAGGCACACGCACAAATGCATGGACCCGAAAATATAACCATGTTAGCGAACTACGGTAGTTAGAGCAAAAAGGTAGCAAGAGAGAAAGAAAAATATTACTTCAGAAAGAAGCAATAGAGTAAAGAAAGGAGAAGGGAAGAGAAATAGACAAAGAACGACAAAATGAAAAGTTATGCGGCTTCCCCTCTCAAATCGCCTAGATGTGGGTGTAGTTTACTTTAGTCCCTGATGCCGACTTGCATAGTGTCATTAGTCATGTTGATCGGATAAACAGCGGCGCGGTGCGTGCACGGAGCTCGGCAGTACACAAAAGGCCGGTCACGCCGGACACACCTGCACCGACAGGACAGGGAACACTGGAGCTACCTGACGGGCAGGACAGGCCTGCACGCACACGCCGGCAGCGGAGGGAATACAGAATCCGACAGGTGAGCACCCAAGGAGGACATGTACACGGTTATGTACACGTGCCTGTCCTCCTTGGGTGCTGGCAATGGTTGTCTTATCTTGAGAACATGTCCAGACATTGAGGTGTCCAGTGTAAGTTGTAATCTTCGGACACGAATAACCAGCCATCATCGCCATCACATAACAGTTATATATGTGAAGTAAACATTTGAGTGGCTGAATCGATAATTTCGGGTTGGGTAACAGTTTAAAATTTTTCATAAAATGTTTTTGTATAACAATATTTGTATCCTGCTATAATGCGGTACAGTTTTATTTACTGTGTCACGCCCTTCTCCAAACGTGAACCGTGTATACACAGGAATAAATAGTGGCTGTAACATTTTCCTTGTTACCAACTCCATAAGACTTCGCTATGACCAGATAAAGATCTGTGTGACGTGTGTTAGCTCTGAGGAAGGAACAGGTGTCACAGGACAGGACTATACTTAACATATCAGTTACTCCATCTCCCCTTCATCAAGGACCGACGTTATCTTTTATCACGGGCCTTTCCATGCCATCGTCGCCTTGGGAATATGTGAGTCTTGTTGTTGTCCATCCGATGCGTATGGTGTATGGTTTGCAGGTGAACGTCGTGAATACAAGGATAACGTTGTCGCAGGTGATACAGGTGTAGCGTTGTCGCAGGTGTAACAGGTGATACAGGTGTAATGTTGTCGCAGGTGTACTGGACCGTCAGGTCGACTGTTCTCCACTAAAGACGGCCTGACGAAAGGCATCCGGCGCCGTTCCGCCCGAAGGACGGACATTACAGAGATGAAAGCCTTTGGGAAAATGAAATTAGGAAGTGGAAAATGATTCTTGATCCAGAAATCTGTACGTACCCACAGGCAAGGATTATGCCATTTTTGCGGCTCGGTTCTGTGGATCTGATTGGACTGAGAGCGCACGTTGTTCGGTTGTGTTTCCTGTGCCCTAATCCCCGCGTAAAGCCGCGGAATCAAATTTTCCTGCAGGTAGACCAAACGTGCTCCCGAGGCTGCCGCGGTAGCAACAGGCGCGATACAAACCTGTAAGAAAGGGGGAGGGGGCAGCGTCATTTTTTTAGTCCAGCTTTTGCACTCGGGTTTTACATCAGTCTAACCGCACAGTCAATCACAGTCCCTTCACATGAAATTCCGGAGAAGTTAGATGAGAAGAAACGTACATAGAAAACGCAGCGGTTGCTGTTGCTTTTATTCGTATGTCTCCGTGTAAAAACATGGATGTTTATGCGACAAAATGATTACAAAAAGTTTTTTTTAGATCTAACCATTTTTCTTGGGCTGTGACATGTGCCAGTTAATAAGGCAATCGTGCAGCGTAAAATCAACGTGCGGTCGTTATACACCAAAACGAACACACTGATTTTTCGTACATCTAGTTAACGATAGCAAACCTTACCCTGACTGTAATACCATCGCAATCAATCGTCGCTGTTTACGTTTAGTATGAGAGGGTAACAACCGGAAGAAAACACCATTATCTGCAGTACTCAGTTTAAACGGTAGACGACGCTATTCGCTGGATCAGCCATGGGTAGCCAGCTTGCACCTGTCGTTCGCTAGCCTATTGACTAAAATTGTGATGAGACCAATCTAGAGATATATGCTTGACATATTAGAGAGAGGAGAAAGCTACATTGTTAAGGACTGTGTGTGTCCATGTAGAATTTTATTTCCTGTCAAATGTAGTAGATATTGTCAATTTCTATCGGTGCCTTCTCCGCAGAAGAGTCTTCTGACTTGACTTCAAACACAGTTTGCTTCATCTGAAATATCAGACCATGACGTAACGGCATTACATATTTGAAAAGGTCATCTGTAAGCTGAGGGAATTCCCTCGTAGAAACAATGCCGTCCCCTGGGATGTGTTCAGGACTGTACTGTCCCCAGTAGACCCTCTAACCCCCAGGACGTCCTGCTGTGAGCAACGTGCCAGCATTAATCATGATTAATGCGACAGGCTGTCCATAGAGCGCCGCTGTGGACACAAATAATCCTGCAGCAAAGAACAAAGTCGTCACATGCGCGCGCGCACACGCACACACACACGCGCATGCACATACATTTATACACACACCACAGCAGGAGAGCAAAGATACAAACAGAAACATACAAACACACGCACAAACACAAATAGAAATACATACGCGCACGCAAACGGAAACAAACATACAAGTATTACAACTTCAGTACCGTTGAACACTCACACACACACATAAACGCGCACGCGCACAAACAATCACTCACACACAAACACACACGCCATGATGAACATTCAGACAGGATCAGACAAAATATTAAATCACTCTGTACCGTCGGCAATGTCAAACGGAATCTGTGCACGTCTCCACACTTGTATACCTTCCCTCGAGAAGGGCAAGGCGAGTTAAAAAGCGCAGCGGCAGATTCTCCCCGGCGAATAGAACCCCACAATGCAGCAAACCACCGCTATTGTTGAGGTGCGTTCGCGGACAAAAAAGGAACAATGATTTCGCATCGGTCGAATTTTCGCTTTCTTTTTTCAAATTAAAGGATGCGGAGAACTCGTGGGGTTTCACCATCCGCTCCCGCTGTTATCATTGGACAGCAGCAAAGGGGCAGTCCATTATCACCAAAGGGGTGTGAGCATTACCTATTCGTCTTGACTGTAGCCATTCTTTCTCTATATCTTACGGTATTGATCAAAAGTCTACGCTTATGCAAAAAAACTAGAGCACACGAGCTGAGTTTGTGATGAAAGACACACTACGTTCGAGGACATAGGTGACAGATTTCAGCGTTATTGTCTTTGTAGAGGCGTTCCACCTGCACGAGCTTTGGTCCGCCCCTAGACAAAGTAATTCGCGGTCACGCTTTGGTAGAGAATACTTCATCAAAACGGCTTGCAGGGCATCAAGGCCCATTGGACTACTACGTATTGACTTCAGGACGCAGTCGGATAATTTGAGTGAAACGCCAGCGCAGCGCCAGCAGGAATTAACTGGCTCCCACTTTTCCAAATTGGCTTTCGACTTTTTGTGGTGCTGCCGCTTTGGGGCTGTTCAGACGGCGGGCTAGCTGGTTTCTCCGTGTTTGGGCTTGTCTGAGGCAAACCGTTCGGACGGGGGATCACCTCTGTCGTACGTAAACTCAGATCTTTGCCGGTGATACGGTGTATTTGTGTACTCAAGGGCGATAACATCGGCAAATTTAGGGGCGGTTTATTTTGCAATTTGTTGACAGATTGATGGATGGGTGACAGGCAGTATAATTTACCCTTCATTGATTTGACAGACGGAGTGGAGTGATCCCGGAGGCGGGCGAGTCCCCTCACTGCCGTTTGAATAGGAGGCGCTTGTTTGCACTTCTCCGCCGGGCTAGTCTGTGTGTGTGAGGAGAGAGGCTGGAGTCGCGCGACGAACGGCACACCGTGCACACGCACACAGGCACCGACCACTGGGATAGATAAAGCGTGCGCGCTGGTTCGGGACTTGCTCGCTGGCGTGGTATGTGGATTACCGAGCGGTGAGGAGATACGGGAAAGCTTGCGTCCGTTTCTGAGCGTGTGTAGTTGGCGGGGTGGCCGAACAGCCGACCCGTGAGGGCGAGGAACACCACCGGGACTTACGGACCTGTGGGGCCGAGCGGCCGGCGGACGGGACGAGACGTTACCCTCTATCTCACCACGATGATTCTCCGGCTAGTTTCGACACCGATGATGGATTTCTTGCTGTTGTTCTTGCTAGTTGTGGGACAGGCCGCACTCGGCAGAAGTTGCCCTAAACAATGTTCGTGCCCAGGGAACAGTCTGGACTGTGGAAACAGAGGACTGAGAGCGGTGCCCAAAGGAATCCCGCGGAACACAGAGAGAATGTAAGTTGATCTCTTCTCTACACTATCGGACCATGTTGCTACAGATGAACACGCTTCGTTTTGAACTGAAGGTGTATAGAAAAATCCTTTGAAAGCTGTGTTTGATATCACAGGCCTTGTTTTGTAGCCGTCGGCTGCAGCAAACCTCGTGTTTTCTGGATTTAGTTAAAACGCCTCGGGGGACCCAGGCCCCTTACACCGATGGCCCTACATAGAGATAACGTAACGTTGAAAAGAGTTGGTCGGCGGAATGAATGCGGTTCTGCCGACGGCTAGAACATGTTACATCGCTTGACTTAATAGGTCACCGTGAAGCGAAGCGCACCAAATACGAATGTCATTGCATGTGACAGTTAGCATTGCCGCCATTTTAATCCAGCAAACGCGTTTTGCCGTTCTTCTGTCTTTTTCAGAGACTTTGAAGGGAACAACATTACCAGGATTGACAAGAACGACTTTGCAGGGCTGAGAAACCTGAGAATTCTGTAAGGGCGTTTCTTATCTTCCTTCTATTGTCCCTAAGTAGTCGGCAGACGACACTGTAACTGTTGGTGCGTCTCGCTGGAGAAGACTTTTTATTGTCTCCCGAAAACTCGGGCTAGTTCGCGTCTCGTCCCTTTTCTGTGAAAATAACGTTTTGTCTAGGTGTAAACAAAGAACTTGGTGAAAAACACTTCAGCAGCCTCATTCTAATGCTGACGATTGTTAGTCCTGAACGGTTTTCTTTTCTATTCTCTTGGAGTCTAGCAAATGACACTCTGTCCAATATTGACATTACACGAACTTGTTACTTTGTGATGCTCAGACCGCCCGCCTGCGCCCCGATTGAGTGAAAATGACGTGCTAATCCCGCCTATTCTCTCCGATCGCACCTTCGCCACAAGTTGATAAATCTTTGTTTTCTTCCTTACACAGCCAACTGCTGAATAACCAGATCTCGACGATCGAAAAGGGCGCCTTTCAGGACCTGGTGTCGCTGGAGCGCCTGTAAGTACGGAGCTAGCCCACCACACACAGACGCACTCCAAATTGTACAAACAAACCCGCCAGCCTCTCCGAGCATTCCCCACATTTTATTTGCTCTCCCTCCGTCCGGGGGCCGAACCAGAATAGAAGCTCTGGAAATGTGGGGGAGGCGGAAGAGAAAAGGTAGAACTGGCACGTTCTCCGCCCAGGCTGAAGTTTGTAAGGGCTGGGGAGGGAAGACAGGTCCCTCTGGGTCAGGGTTACTGCCAGGAGCGCTTTCAACAAAGTCTCACCATTAATAACGATAAGTTTATTTGAAGTTCTTCCCGAAATGCTAATTACAAGTATTATGTGAAAAGGGTGGACAAACACATGTGACTTGCCTTTCTGAAACTCTTGAAGACAAAAAATGTCATAAAGATAATCTCCAAGCACTTGGTCATGTTTCAGATTTCTGAGCCCTGAATTTGCTGAAAAAACTTTTACAGGGTTGACCACCTATCATTACCATTGGGGGCATTTCACCATTGCAGAGTTTACAGAATCATCTACTCGTGGTCCTGTACACCCCTATAACTTGACAATGGTGTCGTCCAAGTCATATCAGTTGACCTCCTTGCTCCTTGGCAAACGGACTTGACTCAGAGCTTTGTAAACTAACCAGCAAACCTGTTCACCAAGGATCGATTAAAGACACCGCAAGTCACCGCGGGGTTTGATCCCCACCACGTCCTGGGATGCCGGAGTGCTAGAAGTGCCCGGTGCCTGGCTACTTGACATGCCAGCCAACTTATTCACTGTTGGCTTATACGGTGATGTCATCATGACATCATGGTAAAGGTGATGATGACACTTTGCACCATTCTGATCCCCTGTGAATTGGGTGTGGAATTTACACAGCTTTGTGTCAGACATGACTGTATCCAGGTTAAGTACATGATGTCACACTTAATCTCCAAGCAGACCTTTGCGTGGCAAAGTCGTAGCTGCCGACCAATGGACCTAAACTTGGCTCGCAGTTTGCAATTTTACCACGGGAAGATCTGCTTGGAGATTAATCACTGTACCTTTACCGAATGGAAATAAAAAGTGAATCAAGTAAACCCAGCCAACATACCATTTTATTTCTATTTCTTTTATTGTAGTAAGTGTACTTTGGAGGAAGTTCGGTAGAAAAAATCATACTACATTTTTATACATGTAGCCATATTCAATCCCTTGGTTATGAAGCTTTTATGAACTGTATAGGAGTCAATGATTCTCTTTCCAGTTTCTGCACCGAGAGAAGTTCAAATGAGGTCACGGAAAACTAACCTTTGGGATTTCTTCTTCTTCTTTTCAACAGACGGTTAAACGGAAATGTTCTGAAGAGTCTTCCAGACCTCCTCTTCTCTAACATGCCAAGGATCTACCGACTGTGAGTACCAACTCATGTACTAGTCTAACCACCCCCTCACTATAGAAATCTCATTAATGACTTTCTGGTAGGGGGGTGCTGTGGGCAGGGTGATATAGACCTGTTAGAGGGCTCTTAGATGGCATTCCACACATTTTGAATTAACGAAAAAGTTATACATCAATATTACAATAGTGCCTCAGATTTTGGGTTGCAATCTCACCTGAGATGCCATTGACACCATCATTGCCCTCTGGTGGACATCAAAGGCATACAGTTACACTTTTTGTCTGAGGTATCAAGACATAAGTAGAAGGCAGGCAGTCTGTGAAATGGTAGCTTAGTAGTCCTAAATGCGCAGTGTGTTATAGAGTACTGTTGGGCCGTGTGGATAGTCTGGAAAGTGTGGATGAACAAGCTTTTCCATCGTAAAGCACTTGTCCTAAATGGACCTTTTAGTGGCCTGCATCAGAGACCACTCCATTAAGTATGCTTTTGCCCGAGAAAAGTTTTGTCGCAGCCTATTCACAGAGAGGAGGACTGTCTCATTAGTGCTTCAAGTGCAAGAAGTGCCCCTTTTAGGGCTGGGAGGAGTTGAAGGCATTAACCTTACTTAGGATTGCCAGATGGTTTCAGGTATGCAAATCCCCTGGCGCTGGGATTACCCAATCCACTAATACTCACATGTATTTACCACAGTCTCTATCTCTGGTAAAACACATAGAAAGCCCAAAACAAGTTTGCTTTACTGTCTAATGACAGCGAGACGGGTCATAGAATTATAGGTGATAACCCCGTGGGCCTCCGAAGGACGACAATGGTACATTCCTGATGTGGGATTTTGGGTGATAGCATTCTGTTTGCAGGGGTGTCAGACCTTGGAAAGCCATTCTGTATCAACAAAGCCTTTCCTGGTGATGTATATTTGTATGCAATGTTGTCCATTCCACCAGCCAGTGGTGCTTGTGTGAGGCGTCCAGTGTTGCCTGATGTTTGCTTAGCATGTCGTCAGTGCGCTCAGGTCCAGTCAAAAGGCCAGCACATGTGTGTCCTTTTCTTGGGGAGAGCCAGATTAGCTTCCAGGCGACCATAGCGGGGAAGCTAAACACTGCTTTCTGGGCACTGTGAGCATGAAAGCCAGAACTATAAGGCAGGTTAAGAAGCACAGGACGGTAATCCTGCAGATTTGCACTGCTGTTTCGTAAGATCCTTCAGGCATGGCACGTTTACTTCATTCATTCCTTTAAGACGGCCGCTGACTTTACCTAGCCGCATGTCATGTGATCGGGATGTCAGCCGGTGCTTCAAGGGATAGCTTCCCTGTTTCCCTGGTAACAGCCCCTAGACATACAATCCTAATACTGATTCCCTCCCCCAGAAATTTGTGTCACAAAAGTGAAAGGGTATAATGCTGTCTCTATGTGGGCTGGATATGTGCGGTGGCTCAGCGGACATGTGTTGTTCGCTTGTATGGCCTTTGTGCCTGTGTGAGGAACCCGCTTGCACCTGAGCACACAAATCGGAGAGAGTACATACCCTCCACACTCGGTACATAGTTACCCAATTAATGTGCAATGCATATAAATGCACATATTTGCCTGGCCTATCTTTGCAAGGGTTGGCTGCCGGGTGAGGAAGTCCACTGCTGAGGGAATGTCATTGGGATTCATGTGGACAGTGTACAGTCATGCTGGTGTTAGCCTTTCCTTCTAAACCTGCTTTAGTATGGACAGTGTACAGTCTTACTGTACTTTATTCAAATTGCAACAGCAATACACAGTGGAGCCCTAGGCAGCAAGTATAGCTGATGCTGTGCTCCATACATTATGCTGTGCTCCATACATTATAATACAACACTAAATGTACAGTCATGCCCCATGTTAGCAACTCCTTCTGAACCTTCTTTAACCAGGGAATTTTTCAGCAGCAGGCAGAGCCAAACACATGGTGCATATGTTTACTTAATGATGCCTGTGTTTTCTTGGGGGGTGTGCAGTCACACATGCATGGGCCTTTTGTTTGGTCCTCCCTTTGTGGAGGCAGAATAGACAGGTGCTGCAAGGCAGACGCTTGTTGAAAGAGGGAATTCAGCACCCAGAAATCAGCTGAAGTATTAAATGGAACATGTTAGGGACAACTGCTTGTCTCCTTTTTAAGGGGCAGGCCGTGTCAATCCATCAGTTAATTTGGAGTATTTAATTTAGAGGTGTCTAAACCAGATAACACAATTTAGGGTAACAAGGGTTTTCCATTAATCCAATCAATTTCAAACAGGGAGGGCACTAGAGTGTGCATACAAATGATATTTTTTGGGATAACTGAACACTACAGGTTTTTATTTGGTACATGTAGTGAAGGTGTTATCTTCTGTATTGAAACTGTTGAATGCCAAGGTCTTCTTTAAGTCATTTTGCACAACCTAGATGATACTGTTATTGAGCACATTGTGCTCTCTCTGTATAGACCAACAAAGCCACAGATAATGTCTTACAAAGATTCGAATTCCACTTCGTGCTGTTTGGTTTAACATGGTTTAAAATAGTGACTGCCAAGTCATTTTACTCGGCCTAGACGATACTATCATTGAGTACATTGTGCTCTTTATAGACCAACAAAGCCAAAAATAATGTCTAACAAAAGTTTGAATTCCACGTTGTATTGTTTTGTTTAACGTTGGTGGCGCCGCGGCCTTGTTTGAAGAGCACATCTCAGATCAGACTTTCAATGAATGAATGAATGATGTCACACTTTATTGCACATTTTTGCCACACTGGGCTAAGTACAGGTCACAACAAAATGTCTACAAAGTTGCTAAATACAAGGTATATTAGCTATAACAATGCCTTGAAGCATTCCAATATTGTCATGTTGGAATCCTTCCCAAGATAATTGATTCAGAGGGCAGACTTTCTTGTTATCATCAGCCTTGGCTGATACCAACGTTGTCTGCTAACTGTGAATCTGTCAGACACTGCAGAGTGACTGTTGTTCAGAGAGCATGTAGCAGTGCTCGCCCCTGCCCTCTCCTCTCATTTCCCATACGGCCGCTCCCTGGGAGTTTTGTCCCTTTGCCTCCCGTCCATTCAGCCCTGCGGAGGGGACTGAATACCTGCTGACAAAAGGCAGTCTGTGGTGGGGTATTTGATTATTGAAATGTAGTCTATGAATAGTGGAGGAAAGCTGGAATTGTGTGGCTTTGACTCCTGCTAAATCTTTCCTGGCTCCCTTCTGGTAATTAAGTTATTCCAGTATTGGCTGGCTGCACTCTATGTGGGACAGACCCACTGCTGAGGCCTTCACTCCCCCCACTAGCTCTACTGGCCTGTACAGAGGAGTAGATAGTGAGAACGCAGACAGTGTGGACAGATGTTTCAGACAAAGAAGTGGCCATTCTAAAGCAAGTATCCATTGCAAAAAGCTTCCTGGCAGAAACAATGGGGGAGTTGGGCTCTATTCAATGCAGAGGAGGAATGTACCTGTCTCATACACAAGTCATTTCATCACCTTAGATCCCCACAAGATAGTATCTAGAACAAACTCAGTATGCATGTCAAAGCTCTTGGCCACATAACACGGGCCTGGCTTGTCAGGCGAAGTATCGTTTGCACCCCAGAGCCAGCCCTCCTATTGTGCGCCATGTTGTTCTAAACCAGACGTTATCGGAACATGCAAACCTGAGAGCTGGGAAAGTGGCCACCGCTTCAGCCTCTCCAACATTGTTAGATGCTCCCAAGGAGAAAAACAAAGTTACTCCTTGTTCTTAATGTTGCTACTTTCACATCCTTTAAGATGCAGCTTGAGTAACGTGGAAGAGGTTTCAAAATACATCCTTAGCTCCTTGTTCTGAGTAACTTACTTACTAAGCCATCTGAATTGGGTACTTCTGATAGAAGGGCACGACCTGTTTATAGGTAATTGATCGCCTGCCAATTGAAGGTCGACATAAATCAGTTGGTGTCAGAGTTCTGAAATGTCCTCACATGTGTAGACATTGGCAGGCCACATCATAGTTTTGATAGGTCATAGAAATGCTTCAAAGACGTCTCTTCTCTGGTTAGCATCACTACAAACAGGGAACATTGTTCATCAACAACAACTTAGCAGGTTGTTGTCGTTCACTTGTGTATGATGGGACTTAGAATCTTTATCCTTATTGGATGAACAACTCCTTGGGGGCTATTGCATTTTAGAAGTTAGGGAGCGACAGCCAATAAAAAGAGAGGGAGAGGATCTACGGTTAATCCCGTCGGTTATTGATTCATGGTGATTCAAGGTCATAGGAATGACCATTGCAAGTCAGTATCCTTCAAGGTCATAGAAACAGTGATTGGAAGTCAGTCTTCCTATCCACCCAGCTGCTGTGTTCCCTGTAGCAGCTCATTATATGGTGGGTTAGATCCTTGTATTGAATAGTTCAGGGTACAGCTTGTATTGTCTGTGATCACTGTAGGGGAAAATTACTTTCCCCATTATCATATACTTCCTTATTGAACCCTTGGCACCATTGATTCACTCTGTGCCTTTCCTGTAAGGGTGCCAGTGGATTCGATGTAGGGACATGAAATTAACAATATTGGTTGGTTGTTGCATCATATCTGGTTCATTTCCAGCACTAATACAGTCAAAATTCTGCCAACAAACTTATAATCTCTATGTTTTCACTACTAGTATCTTCTTGATTTTTAGATATGCGTCCTTAGCTCCTGGTAATAAAAAGAACAGAGTAAATTACAGTTGAGATGGGGCATTAGCACTGAAATGTCAGAGTCATTAGAACAGGCAATAAAACACACTAGGGATTTAATGGATTGATACTTAGGTGTTTATGTTAGTTATGGCTGTGCAGTTAGTAGCGAATGTCAAATTTGTGCCCCATAACTGCAATTGCCAAATGTAGCACCTCTGTAGAGCTACTTCAAAACGTCGGGAACATTTGAAGGATTCCGTCCCGACAAGAAAGCCTATAATTACAGACTGGCACTCCCTGGAATGCAGGAAAAGGAAATTATTTATCTGTTCATCGTGCATGAGGAATCTAATTTGCTGCAACCCCAATCCTGATAATTAGACCTGGCTCCGGTTCACTTAGTTCTTCCCCAATCAAAGCTCAGGTGGTTAAAATTCTAGTCAGTCAAAATCTATACCCTAAGCTGGGCAATTGCTCAGGTGATTTCTACTGCAAGGTTGAAATACATGCTAGATTTATCATTGTATTTTAGCTGCATTCTGCCATGGCCATGCAGGGTTCTGTAATAGGTTTTGCGCAAAGTTACTGACCTGACCTAGTAAGGGCATATTGTGTGTATAGCATCTGAAAAAGCACATGGCATATACAGACATTTCTACCCTCCCACCTTCCTACTGTAAACACCATACCAGGTGTTGCCATCTTTATTCATGGGTCTCAGGAGGCAAGTTCCAACCCTCATTACAATGTCATTAGCAAGTGGCATTAAATTGATATAGAATTTTCATAACTGCAGCTTATTACATATCTCAGTGCACATATAGTCCTCATCAATAATCGACTTGGCACTGTCTAGATGGCTGATGGGCGTGGCCTGACACAATGATTCCGAGACACTCAGTAAAGTAAGGTACTGCTGAGGTGGATCCCTCGTCCTAGGTTAAGTGTTGTTGCTGTGTAAGGATATGTAAGAAAAGTTCATCAACTCCGGATGAATGACTTCAAAATGTCAAAGTTTGAAAATTTCTGTATGTACTAAGAGGTCAAAAGTATTATGATAAAAGACAGTCTTATGATAAATGATGTGAACTTATAGGGGTACGAAACTCCTTCACAGTCACTGATGAAAGATAGCAGACACTATCTGAAATGTCTAACTCTTCAGAGAATTTATCCAGTTGCTTGATTTATTTTGTATAAGTAATGTAGGGAATTGACTGAGCCATAGTGCAGACAGGTATATAATTAGTCCACTGAGATATGAAAGATGAGAGCACTCGTGTGAATCACAATGAAGTCATCATAAACTAGAGTTCCATGATCTCATACCTTCGCCAAATGATGTTAATCTTCATGACAGACAAAGTAAAGATTATTCCTCCTGATTATGCAAATAGGATCCTCATTTGCATGAATTATATCAGTTGATCATATTCTCCAACAAAAGACAGCCTTATCTTAACAAAGAAAACCATTCTACCATTTCCTCATAAATTATGCAAATGAGGTCCTTACTTGAATAAGTTATGTTTAATGATGTTCACCTTCACTTAACTTTCAAATACCCCAAGTATAAAATTCTAGGCAGTTACCATTATGGAATTTTTCTTATTAATTATGCAAATTAAGAGTTAATTTACATAATCAAAAACTTCCTGTGTTTCTCTCGTTCTCAATTACATATGTCACAAGCTTGAATAGTCCTATAATGTAATGCAGCTGATTTATAGAATTTCCTCATTAATTATGCAAATTACATCCAGATTTGCATAATTGTTGCATAATTATGTCAAGCGTCACTTAAGTTTCCTACATACCAAAAATCATGAAGATCCGTCCTCCAGTTCTTGAGTTATCCTCTTATGAATATTTTCAAAGAAATGGCCCTGCAGTTCCTGAGCAAACCGCTAGGGGGCCCAAACCTATGTCAGTTGTTCCCCAGCACAAGAGCTACCTACCATCCATATTTCGTGACCCTAGCATGTCTAGATCATGAGATATCAAAACCGGAAGTTCCGCTGCAGTACCACAACAAGCCGCTAGGGAGTCCAAAATCTAATCATTTTGAGGTCTCATCAAGACCTACCCACCTACCAAATATGAAGTCAATCCATTGAAGCCTTCCCAAGTTATCGTGTTTACAGACAGACAGACAGACAGACAGACAGACAGACACACACACGAACGCCTACGAAAACATAACCTTCTTGGCGAAGGTAAATATCACGTGAAATGGCCATCTCTGTCCTTTTGTAGCAGGCATGATAAATGGCTTGTCTGTGGTTATATGTGAGGTGGATGATGAAAATACTCATTTACAAGTCTGACATGAATATTGTGGAATCATAATGAAGTCACATTTGGTTGGACACAGGGGAATTGTCTCTGTGGTATGGTTGCCATGGCTACTGAATGCTAAATATGGTGAGGGAGATAAAAGTGAACTGTACGAACAAAGGCAAAAGTTCACCATTGTGACGAGCAGCTTTGATCTATACAGGGTACCAGTCTTCTCTTTAAAAGGGTTTTTATCACAGAATGACAATGAAATTTACTGGATGGAACAGTTGTATTTTATGTGTTACTGGTATCACTGGTTAAACTGTATAGTGCTAAGCATCTGTGGTTAACAAGGAACATTGGAGGCTGCAAGTTGAGCAATGGGCAAATCTTTTTTGACAAAATTTACATTTTTAATTAATAGCCTTCATATAAAAATTCTCCATGGTCAATCCCCTCATCTTCTCTCCTACATGATGTTCTATGATAAAAAGAAAAACCCTGAAAATTTGAATGTTTTTCCCAAGAAAGGCTCTGGTGATGGCATTTTAGAAGTGCTGTTCTTTATTTGCTGACCAAGTGCTGTTGTAATACTACTATAGCCTCCTTGCTTTGACTCAGTTTGAGGGCTGCCATTTTCCCTACATCGCGGAGAAGTGGCAGCCCGTGCAAATTCGGCAAGTTGAAAGGGTCATTAAAAACCACTTCATACCGATTGGCATGGGTGTGCGAAGTCCCCGTACCTGCACGTGTCCCTGGCTGCAACGTGACATCATCACGTCTCGCGGATACCGAGACAACAACGTGCTAACGGTCGCCAGGTCACTTCGCTGGAAAAACACAAAGAGAAAACCTTCCATCAGGGTCATTAGGTGTTGCATATATTTCTTGAAATGGTATTATGTTAAGAAAAAAAATGGTGGTTGATAGAGGAACCATATACACTTTTCTATAGCTAAAACAGGAATACACAGATTGCTCACTATTGACCAGAGCACATAGGTAGACCCCATCTGTACCAGGAGGCACCTCTGGCTCCAGATCCAATCCAAGAGGACAATATGCAACCCCTATCAGTAACATGCCAATAGGAGTCAGGGGGTTGAACCTCTGACCTTAGGGTACATGCAGAGTAGTAGCAATCAGAAAACTAAGGTACTAAATCAACCAAGTTAATAATGGAAACAGCAATATTAAAGCACAACTATGGAACCAGCTACATAGACTATCCATGTGAGGAGGAACGTATCATATTGAGAGCAGAAAGATGTGTCTGATCAGGACTTATATTGAACAGCATCTTCTATAACTGTTTGACCTGGAAAGCAGGTCTGACTAGGTGGGTGGCATCCCAGGACAGTTCACAAGCAGGCAGAGGAAAGTTCTGTACAAGGGGCTTTGTGATTACACACTGATGTGGCATTGTACTTACATGTGCAGAGTCCTGGGCTTGACATCGATTAGTCATGGCAGATGCACCACACTTCTACCAAGCCTTCCTGAAAGCTTGCTCTGATGGAAAACCATGTCTTATTCATTTGTTCTACACATAGAAAAGTGTAAATTGATCTGCTGCTGGTGCTTTCAGGAAGGGGGAGACTAAGGCCGACTTTAGACTGACGACGGTATACGATCGCACGACAATCGTTGTGGGCGACGGCTGGCTTTAGACACATGACCAGAAAGTGTGGCGAACACCCGGAGCGCAGGATGGCACGCCGCGCGCCAATTCAAAATGGCGAGAGAACCCCTTTTTCGGTATGCTGTAGCAGATTGTTTTTATTCTGCTTTTAACTCGTTGTCCTGTTGATGAGACGCCGAGTTTGTGCCCAGCAAAGAAGGGGTATGAGGCACATACTCCGGGTAATACTCCGGGTTTGAACCCAGCGTTCTGTGCTGCCGTCGGCCTGGCTATATTGGCCGGGAAATGTGGATCGGCGGGTCGGTTCGTAATGGAGAAGTAGCGATTGGTGGCAGGGGATTGTACTAGACACGTATGACGATATAAAGTCTTTGGTTTGACGACATTTAATGATACAGGCGATGTGCTTGGACATGAAATAACGCTTGCAGGCTTATTTGCATAAGGCCAATGACCTCCCACTTCCTTCGCCGGCGACGGTTCACTTTCGACGGTGGAAAATCCTCCTCGGACCCCCCGCTGAAGGATCGCACGATAGGGTCCGAGGTGGTAGTGACGACGATTCGAGGATTACCGTCGTGCGACTATTTTTATCGTGTTTAGACGGTGGTAAAATACCGTCGCCGGCAACATCTTGACGATGAACATTCGTACGACTATCGAACCGTCGTCAGTCTAAAGTGCCCCAAATTTCACAGAACATCAGGCTGAGGTGACCACATCTGCCCTAGAAGTGTTTCTATTTCTGCTGTGTTATATCCCCCCCCCTCACCTTTCAGAGTGCAAATGTAAGACTAAGAAAAATTCAAGGAATTAACACCTGGCTGTTTATGCAGGTCATTTTATCTTTTTGGTCTTTGGATTTCCTCTTGAAGTGTTGTTTTCTGTTATTGTGTCAACAGGCCTGATGAAAAGATATCACACAGGGATCGATAGTAGGTAGTGGATAAGAAATACTGTATGTCAGGCAACAAACACCACATACTACAGTAATCCAACATACATCCAATAGTCACCAATCATACCATGTCATACATTGTAGCTTGCAACAGTCATGCAGTATTTAAAAATGTTAAATCTGAAATACCACATTATATGTATTAATTTGCATGTTTATATGGACTTAATGTGAAGTTTGTCATTTATTTGTGCTCATCACTAAACTTCATTGCCATTGCATGCAACCGTCCCAGTTGTTTCTAGAGACTTTTGACTTCATTAGTGCTACAGACTTTTGAGAATTCCTTGTTTACATCAATAGTTAATCCTTCATCCCCACATCCAAGACAATTACTTCTCACTCTACAAACAAAGGCACAATAGGTACACCTGAAAGGTAAGCATCAGGTTTCAATCCCTTTAGTGCATCACAACTTGAAGAGGATTAATTCAGGCTCAGTAAGCAGATAATCTTCTTATCCCAGTGGATTAGGTGTGTGGAGGATTAGCAGCATCTATAGAAGCGTCAGAGATATTTTGAGATCCATGTCCGATGATGTCGGCATAGTTCAAAAACATACAGGATTGATTACAATGGATTGGACCAGGCTAGGATATCCCAACTCTTGCCTCTTGATGGAAAAGCATTTCTCCTTCCACTACTTCACTTGTACCAGTGGTAGAGATGAGGTGTATTATGACTTGAGCCCTGCTGGCTAACACTGTAACAGACCAGGTGCCTTTGAGTAAATAGACTCGGTGACAGGTAGACACAGGTGCGATACATTAAGTACAGGGTAAAGCTCTCTAAGCAGGCTATATGTTAGCTTTCTGTACTCCAAGCAGAAACAACATGCCACTTCATAAGGCAGATAACTTAGCTGCTGCTGATGTCCCACACAAAATTGTTGCTTGAAGTTGATTCCACATCAATTTTTACCATTAAGGTAAATGAAACAAATGTTCATGATGGGTTTTCAAATAATCTGATTTCAGCCTTTCAACATCCATAGAGGGAATTGTGTACCTTGAGTGTTTAATGTTTTGCCATTAGTTCAACAAAGTATACCACAAAGTTTTATGGTTTGTGCAGCTGTGGGTATTCAGTCAATAGAGTGTTGAACATTTAGTTACATGTTACTTGGTTTTGAGATTGGCTAGCTAATGTGGTAATAGGTAGTCATTTCAGGAACATCCATGACTGTCACATAACACACAAGACCCATTCCCGGTACAATATGCATGAGGAACTGACCTATTCCAAGATTTACTGACATTTTTTGTATATTGTACAATAGCAGGATATTGGTTGGCTATAAATTTGCAAGTTTTATGGTAAATCCAGTACAGGGAACCTATTGTGCCGGTAGCAGCGCAGTGAGCACGTTTTAGACTTTGGAACTTCAGCAGAGTGATTTGTGTTGGTACGTGACCTTTTTTATAGGGTGGATTGTATATACAGAGTGTAATAACTGGTAACAACAGCCAGTACATGATTGTGCAAAGCATTAGCCACTGTGGTAAGGAAATCAGCAACTCTAAATTTACAGTCATCAAACCACTTGATGATCACCAAGGAACGTCACAAACTGACCTCTACTCTGCTACTTCCACATTTATAGTAACTTTTATTCTATTTATAATCATTGAATTTTCAGACAACTGCCTGTTTAACTCTGGAATTATTTGTCAAGGTGGCCCAGAACTGAAATGGAATTTACCTGACCTGAGAGGCCTTTGAAGTTGACAAGGAATTCTGTGCATGGATAGTTCTGCTGTGACTCAAACACAAATGTTACCTGATAGGACATAAATAGGATGTTTTGTAAACAACATACAGTGACTTTCGTCCAGCAAAACAGAGACATTATGACAGGGTTGGCTGCAAAGAGCTTTGATCATCATCAGTTTTCATTCATCCTGCCGCTCGTTAGAATTATAACTGGTAATTAAAGCGATGATGTGGTTCCTTGCCTTGGGAGTTAATTAGTGGTTTTAAATGTTAAAGCTGACGAGGACATTCCAGAGTCAGCAGTAAAATTTGTAATTAACGTCTTGGTTTTGGTATATCAAAGTGTAGCTGAAGGTGCATTAGTGCTAGTGCGGAGTTCACCAATGTGTGAGGGGGTGGTGTTGGTGACAGGAACAACCAGGCCAAGGATAACCTGTAATGCCTTCTGCAGATGTGAAGAGAAGAGACACCTGCAATAGTACTGCTGAAGGATTCAGGTCTTGTACCAACTGCCACATGTCAGACAATCAAGTATTCCAATCAAGATGACAAATGATGATTAGGTCCCTCATATTGTGTGTGATGGAAAAGCTATTGAGTTAGGCATGCCCAGTTTAATAATAGGGTAGTGGATACATTTCACCCCATGACCATGTATCATGTTTGTCACTGTAGCCACAGCAACTCTTCCATCCCCTTATTTTCCCTTCACTTCTTCAGATCCGAAGTTGGCCCAAACCTGTTGTGTAACAGTGTTTGATAAACATGTAGCACAGTAACACTCTAACAGCCTAGCCCTGCTGTGGTGTAGGACACATAAACCAGACTGACAGGGGCAGCTGTGTTGTCCCTAATATCATATGTCAGCTCCTGAGCCCCTGCTACTGGTCTCACATGTACTCCTATCTGCCCACCATTTTACCACTAAAAGGTCTGCCCAATGAAACTCCACCCTTCATTCTGCCCAGGATCACTCTCAGGCCAGGGGAGATGATGTATAATAAAGGCATCTAAAGCATGTGGGTTTATCAGAAGCTTGGACGGTGCATACCTTACAGCTCAGATCACTCACCTGTCATTTAGCCCCACCTGGGGCCATGATGACTATAATCACTGTAATGAGGCAATAAGGAATTAATTATGTTCATTACCTGTAAAGGCAAGGCTCTGCAGGAGTTGTGTGGCAGCCAGTGATTGCAGAGGGAGGGTTGTTGCCCTGGAGAAAGTTGGTTGCGACGGAAAGTTTACAAGTAGCCAGCGTGTGAAACACTGCATCGTGATGACCCAGCTGAGGCACAACAGCACACGCACAATAGAGGAGAATCATCACTGCAGCGCACACACAATAGAGCGGAATTATAAGCTTGTCCAACCTGGCGACAGTATCTTGTTTCTGTAAGATCGCTGTGTATTGAGACAAAGTCCATAATGGCTGGCTGTGAGAAGAGTGTCTTCGGCCACAGGAACATACAAAGGATGAAAAGCCTTAATGACAGGAACATGATGATGTCAAAAAG